TCACATATAAGACAACTTGAGGGGCCTGTGTGGAGGAGAGGGAACGTAGGAGAAAAATGAGAGAAGGGTAACAAGCTCAACAAGAAATACACTTATTATCTTATTTATTTAACTGTAATCCCTCTGTGTGTCACCTTGACAATATAAACAAACAAACAAATAAATCTACTGTTAAGTTGCATATATGTGGGTATCTTTTTTCATTTATTTTGAGTATATACATAGCATAGAACACATACATCATTTGGTAACTCGGTTTAACATTTTGAGAAGTTAAAAGAAGTTTTACAATGACATTGAACCAGCAGTGTATGAGATTTCAAATCATTCACCTTTTTCACAAAATGTCTCTTCTTCATTATAGTCGTCAGAGAAAATGGGAACCATGGTTTTCATTTTTATTTTTTCTATTACCTGCATATATTGAACAACTGTATATATCAGCCATTTGCATGATTTCTTTAGAAAAATATCTACTCTATTTCCTCAGTTTTTAGTCATATTGTTTGTTTCTTTGTTGTTTACATGTAAGAGCTTTTAAAATATACCCTGAATATAAGTGCATTAGATACAAATGATTTTCAAATAGTTTCTCTGATTCTCTGAATTGGCTTGTATTTTCTAGTGATATTTTCTCTTAAAGCACAGTTTTAAATTTGGTTGAAATCCAATTAATCTATTTTACTATTTGTCATTTAAACTTTATCATGTGCAAGGAGTCTTTGCCTAATCCATGCTCATGAAGATTTTCTCCAGATTTTATCATAAAAATTGTATAGTTGACTTTCTATACTTGATATATGCATATACTTTATATAATATATATTATATACTTGATTTACACTTGAAGAAGTGATACAGAAGCAATCTTTGTCATGTGCACAAGCATCTCTTAAACACCATCTGTCAAAGGTAGTATTTCCTCGTAAAATATATTATTCTAATTTTTTATTATTCTTTCATAGTAGGTTTCTTTGGGATTGCAACTATTTAGTATGGTGAACAATAGTATATGAGTATAATTAAGTTATACTGAAACAGCACAGATTTATAGCACATAGCATGACAGTAACAATGTTTCATGGTTTAATATTCATTTCCATGTTGATGATTATATATGTTTCCTTTCCCCTTTTTGTAGCTCACTAGGAGAGATCCAGGGAGCCTCTAATAATTTGATAGTAAGCCAAAACTGTGTATATAAAAGAACATGTCACCTGCCAGTTTTACTTCTTCCATTACAATCTGTATTCTTTATCTCTGTTTCTGTGTGTGTGTGTGTGTGTGTGTGTGTGTGCGTGCGTGTGTGTGTGTGTGTGTGTGTGTGTGTTTATGCCTCTCTCTCTCTTCTATTTATCATTATTTTTCTTTTCCTCTTTTTTGTACACTTTTTTAAAATTTATAATTACCCTTGGAAATATTTTTAATGCAAGTTAAATAAAAAATCCTTCTCTCGTTCATGGTTTGGGGATTGAAAATATTTACTCATTTGTTTATTGTTTTTTTGATTATTAAATAAGAAAGACTTGAACCTGAGTTGTTGTTGTTTTTTTAATTATATTATCCTTTTCAGGAAGTATTCTTCTATTCCTGGATTACTGAATAGCATTTGTGGTGAAAGGTTATTGCATTTTATTTAACCAATTTAAAATTTAACGATGTAAATTGCTTGACTCATGAGTTGGGGTACAGCAGAAAGAAGGAAGAAGAAGATTTGTTAAATAGTATCACAGATAGAATCTGACAAACTAACATTAAATAAATAAAAGGAAAACATTTCTTAGGTATAAAGCAAATAAAAGATAGTTATACTACTTTTAAAAAGCTCAACAACAGGTCTAGGTTATGATCTGAACACAGGATCTTGATTCTTTGGAAATTTCAGTATAGAATATTATGTCTAGACATTTCTAATTTTAACTTGGCATGAGTTAGAAATCATAATACAAATTACTTGAACCTTCCAAAATTGTTGTATTTACACCAGGGATATTATTTCAAACTGCAGCTCTTGATACTTTAGCCTTAAAGAACAAGCCAATGAGTAAGATAGAAGCACATTTTATAAGAAAGTAAATGTAGCATTTTCAATACAAGGTCATTTTGACCCTTTGCAGCTCGATATATCAGTATGTGTAGGCTCAACTAGAGCAACACAGAATTTTGACAATGTGACTACCTATCTCAGCGTCCTGCATTCACTTTACCACTTGATAAGTTCCTATCCTACCTTTAGGACTGTCAATGGACTTGAGGAACTGTTTTATCTTTTCCTGTGTTGATATGATGAATGTGTGTTCTCCAGGAAATGAAATTCTTTGGACAGCTATCAGAGTAGCTAAATACAATTACTAAAATACAAGACATTATTATAGTCTTACTTCTGAGTAATTTCCCATTATAGTCAGAGTTCTGTGTAATTTGTCTATTTTTTAGATAATTTTTCCAATGCTCTTACTTTTTTCAGATATACTTTCTATGCTTTTACTTTTCACTACACACAACATATCTGAAGTTTTCTCCTTAAAGTTAAGGGTTTTCCCTCTTCTTTCTTTCCTTTTTTCTTTCTTTTTTATTTCTTTGTTTCTTTTATTCAAGGGTAAAAAAGTTAGTGTTGTTATGGCTCTGCATCCCATTTCCAGTGCAAGTTTTTCCTTGTAATGAAAGGAATGGAGTTTCAGAAACAGCACTGTCATAGTTACAGTCTTAATTATGCCAATTCCATATTTTTTAGTTCGAAGGGTGTTTGTGTATTGATTTTCTTTGTACAATGTTTCAGGTCTATCTGAGTAGTTATTTTATTTTCACTATAAATTGACTCAAATTTCTTACTGTGGCTATTAAACAGATTTAAGAATTTCATTTTTTCAAACACACACTCATACAATAAGTTTTTACACTCTTACTGTATCATGAGTTGGAGAAGTATGTGCTACTTTATAAAATTGTAATAATTGTAATTTTTATACATTTTATTTGTCTTTCAAAAGCCATAACACATGTAATTTGTTATTATTTTAAAGAGCATTTTGAGATACACAAAATCATAAATCATATACAAATGCAGCATGTCAGATTATGCACAAGAACTGTCTGATTTTCATCTATTACATAAAGAAAGTAGAGGAGATTATTCCTGGATGATGAGACAGACTAGGCATTTTTGTAGTTCTTAAATTTTGTAAACTATGGAAAAGAAACATCTTCATCTCAGTTACCATACCAGCAGGCTTCCTTTTGACTGGCAGGGGAAAGACCAGTAAGATGTGCCATGTCAATGAATGGGGATGATACACAATAAATTTATTATTCGTATTTGTTTGCATTTTCTTCCAAGAAATCATTTCTCATTCTGCTATGAAGGATGAAGAATTGTAGTGCTGAAAATACTACCAATAGAATACTGCATTGTCAAAATGAGTTACAAGTACATAATGCAATGGAATGGAATGAATAATTTATTAGTTAATAATGAAAATACTTTTGACAATTATTAGTTTTTCATGCACTTGTCTCAACTAAAAGCACCGTACTGGTCATATAAAAGTACTTTACTTTTTTAAAATCATGATTAGCTTCCATTCTAATCATATTTATTATGTGTAAACTGCATGTTCACTGTGAGAGTGGAGGCTGCTCATGTGCAATTTACTGTTTTTACAGTTCTCAAAGTCAAGTAGAATCTAATGATTCATTTACTTGTTTCCATCTCAGTGCAGAAACATATTAATTAATATATGTTATAAAGCCATATCCAAAGTGTTGAGTGTATTAAGTGGGTTAAGAGCATATTATGCAGAATGACCAGGTATGAAAGTATCCCTTTAATAGCATCAGTTCTTTGAATAAAAGACTTTTTCATTGAAGGGGAATAATGAAACATGCTTCACATTTATCCAAAACATAAAATATTATGTGTAAAAGTTTGTACAGTTTCTAGAAAATAATACTCAGTAAATGGCAGCTACTAATTTTAATGTTCTTTAGGATTCTGGGATGCTGGCAGAAAATAAACAAGTGACAACAATTTAATTGCATGAGATAAACATGGTTCAGAAGTATTAATTACAATTTTGCATTCTCTCACAATTCTATTGACCCCCAAATTATATATTTATATATCTTACACATGAAATCAGCTCTCTTCACCTACTTGATTTTGTAAGAACTAAAAGCTTTTTTTTGAGTCCTCGAGAGTAAAACAATCAAAATCTTTCTTGGTTATAATGTTAATTTCTTATTATTTCTTGGGATGTGTGTATGCTTTGCTATACTGAATTTGTTAAGAATAATCATTCTTAAAGCTAATAATGTGAAGGAAAAACTATTTGATTATTCTCTATCATATAATCAAAGCACTTCTATGAAAACACAATAGCTACTCTATTTTCTACATGATTTGAAATACATTTTAAGAATAATTACTCTTGTTTTTCACCTTGCAGAATGTCAGGAAGTATGTAGTACCATTTATCTCTTTCTGACAAACTTTTAAATTGCTATGATGTCAATTTAATTTTGTTTATTTTTTACCACATTAATAGCTAAAAATGAAGTACTTGTCACATTAACTTATGGAAATATTGAGTAACTGCATATACGGAGCTGGATTTGTTTTATTTTCCTGTACTATTAAAATTGTGATATATCTACATTGAGTGAACCTAAAGGTATATATTAATAATAAAACTTATTACAGCTATATTCAAGTGATGTTGCTGACATATGAATTTTAAGTGCATTTCTAAGTTATATAGGGTCCATATTTTTTAATTAATTGCTAAGAAAAAATAGAAGACCAACATTTTTTCTACATATGGGTTAAAAATTTGTGATTTTTAAATATGAAAATTAAATATTTAATGAAAAATTTTGCAAAAAATATCCTCATGTAAATGTTAGATATAGATAGATAGATGATTTACATTTTTTTTCTGTCCAGAATAATGACTTTTTAAAATAAAAAATGAAAAATCAATTATTTGTGACTCTCTCATCAGATGTGGGCTCTGTCGAGGGACTTGCTTATCACAGAGCCTGGGACACACTGTACTGGACCAGTTCCACAACCTCATCCATCACTAGACACACAGTGGACCAGACACGACCTGGAGCATTTGACCGAGAAGCCGTCATCACCATGTCGGAGGATGACCACCCACATGTGCTAGCCCTGGATGAATGCCAAAAGTAAGAACCGAATTTTCATTTCTTAATGAAGGTTATATTTAAGAAGAATACTAAAACATATTAATCTTGTAGAGGACTACCATTGAAAATGAAGGTTTCCTGTATTTTTTCTTCATTCATACACTAATTTTAATGAGAACATTGCAAGTATGAAAACATAATCTGAGTTATTTAAAAAACAGGTATCTTAAGTATGATTTGATAAAAGAAACTTTCAATAATGAGAAGAAAAATGCAAACAAAATAATGTTGGTACAAGGAATTATACGGTTAAAATGGCATGGTTAATAATATATGTTGAAGCCAAAAGAAAGTTTTAACTTTAATCAGTAATTGAAAACCGAAGTATCCTCAGATGAAATTTCATGAACACAAACACAATGAACACATTATTTTATAGTTCTATTTTCAACAATATATTTGAAAATAGTCTAAGTGCTCTATGTCTGCTGATAAACCGTTCAAACACTTTATGCATGCAAACAAGTCATAACATGTGTAAAAGCTGCTATAAAATTGGGTAAATTAAAAACAAAGTAAAGTAGGAAAATATGCATTAAGATGTCTTAAAAATAGCCAGTTATTAAGAAAATGGGTGCTCCTCTACAAGTTAGGTAAAGAAAACAATATATTGAGTTTCACTTTAATAAAACATGGGAAGGTGGCTATTTTTTCTTCTCCTAACAAATAACTAACCCAGAATAATCTAGACTTCTCTGGGAAGAAGCCCTTTTTAGTTGTGATAATGGAAGAAAAATCTAAGGAATGAAAAGTAAAAAAGATAATGATTAACCCCAACCCTTTATCAGAAGAATACTCCATAAATTGATCAGAAATGATTATAAGCTTGGGCGCTTACAGAGTCAGACGAAAGGTTACACTTAGTTCACTTCACTGAGCAGCATATCATTTGGAGAAATTTTTCAAGATTGAGAAATATAAAGACCTGACTCAAGCAGCTCAGGTGCCTTTGTTCAAAAAGACTCTGGCTTGATAGTGCAGATTAGCCACATCAACTTACCAGCTACTTCATTTCCTTATATGACTCATATAGATAAATCAATAGAGGTCAATATTGAAACATTCGATGTCAATGTTTAACTCTGAGATTCACTAGAAATATCAGAATAGTAAAAACAAAGAAGAAACAGTTCCAACATAAAAATTTAAAAAATGGGCAAGGAGTTCATGAATCAATTGAAACAAACATATGGAGGTAACTGTCAATATTTTATAGCATTAATTTAATTAAGGAGTGCTTTGTCCTAAAACTATTGCATAGATTAAAATTTCACTTAGCAAATAGCAAGCTGTGAATTTGAGTTAAACATATCAGTCTATTTAACTGGAAAATTACTTGCAATTAAAAATTGAAATATAAAAATAATAATCATGATACATATAAATGAAACCCTCAAGTAGCCATTGTGTATTAATGTATTAACAGACATTTAAGTCTAAAATTATCAATCAAAAATGAAATGCTCTTTTTGGCAAAAAAACTTATTCTATACTGATTTCCATACATATATACTTATTTTCCATACTTGATTTTTTAAACAACTTTTTCATTCATAGATCCGATTAATTTTTTTTAACATAGAGCAGAAGGTAACTAAGATCTCCTTAATAGATTTGTTGAATGCTTTTTAGAAAATATCAGATAGAAAGGTTCGTCTTTTCAATTGATCTTTTTCCAATAATAGGCGTAACAAGATTCTCAAAAACTAAAAATAATTTAAAATTTCATATAGAAGATTGTTCAAGTTTTTTTTTTTTATTTTTGTCTTGTTTGTTAGTTTAATCTGTCTTTGGGAGGGTAAGGATAAGGCAATGAAATGGTGGAACAATGAAAAGGTGAACAAATGCAGCAGTGGTACTCACTCACTAGACACTATGTTAAAGATGAACTATACAAATTGTAGGTGAGAATGAGAGGGAAAAACTAGCAAAGATGGAGGAAAGGAATGATATTGTCCCAAAATAAATGTACCTATTACCTGAAATCCATAACTGTAGTTATTCTGTACATTACCTTTACAATAAAAATAAAAATTAAGAAAAATAAATAAAACACAACTTTCTCAATGGATATGGTTTATTATTTTTAAGTAGCAAGTAGAAAGCTTTATAAAAATATTTTTCAGTAGTAGACTTCACAAGTGTCTCAAAAATAAATAGTTAACAAATCTGTTGGTTTGATCCCTACATTGTACTTCAAAGATTACATATGGAAATGTTTTATGCAATTGTGCTGTAAATATAAAATACTGCATTAGTATTTTTTTCTTAATTACTATGTACTAAACATAATGTTCCAGAGGTTGAAAGTAGCCAACTTACTCATTTCATTCCATTTCTTTGTTTCTTCCTGTAATAGTTTAGTATAACCTAATGTAATAAACTCTGTTATGATCTTACAGATACATAGTAAGTAAAGAGCTGTTTGAGTAAAGATGGGGCTTAGAGACTGGAATTTGTCATCCCTCATAAACTTTCAGGGACATGTAATTGTCTCCAAATACCGTAGGGCTTCCTCAAAGTATGATTTTACCAATATTGGTGTGAAATATTTTGTAAAATCTAACAAATAACATGCTTAAATATTTGAAATTTGTACCTAAAATTCAAGAAAGAATATTATATTTTTAAATTATACTGAAAGGATGAAAATAAAAAAAAAACTTTGGAAATACAAAAATTTGGTCATTTTATTCCCTCCATGACAAAGATAAAAGAAATGCAGAATAAATATCCAAATACTGAAACAGTAGGGAGATGTTAATATTTATGCATTTTAGAAAAGAAATATAGTTAGGACAATTATATCATAGCCATTTCCAAATTGACTGTACTATAGCTACTCAAAAATATGTTTGTACTACATAGAAAATTTAAGATTCTTCTTTTATTAATTCAAACAAATCCTTGGTACACATCAAACTGAGTCAATTTGTTATTTGAAAGAAATAAAAGAAGTACTGTCCTTCAGAAATATTTGCAGACTTTACTCAAGAACCCTAGAAATATATTTGTACGCATACAATGTCAGTCTCTCCTCTATCTCCCAGTGTACTTTAAGAGTTTTATAACCATCATACTGTGTAATCATATGTCAATATTTTCCTTTGATTTAAGTAGTTTGCATGGTTATTTTTTTGTCAGTGAAAAATTTAATATGATTTTCCTTTAGTTTAATGTTTTGGACCAACTGGAATGAACAGTACCCAAGCATCATGAGATCAACACTGACTGGGAACAATGCTCAGGTGGTGGTCAGTGCAGACCTGCTCACTCCAAATGGCCTCACCATCGACCATCGTGCAGAGAAGCTCTATTTCTCAGATGGAAGCTTGGGAAAAATTGAAAGGTGTGAATATGACGGATCCCAAAGACATGTGAGTTAATCCAGAATTTTCCAATTAGAGCTTTATACAATAACTTTGGAAAACATATGCTTTTATATTCCTAAAATATGTCTATTGAGAAATTTTGAAATAGCTTCTTATTTCTATCTATTCAATTTTAATAATCCTTTCAAGTATAAAAAGATAACTGTCTGGATATTTTGAAACTATTTTCAGCTGCATTTGCTGCCGTAGAAACACGTGATGCTTTATAAATGCTATTCTCCATGCAATAACGAAATCTTTCCTAGTTATTAATTGAACTGGAATTGTTTGAATAATTTGCATATGCTTTATGGTTATTTATAGTTGTCAATAATATGAAATGAAATTAGTTAGCTGTCCTAGAATAGAAGAAAATTAGAAAAGAATGCAATGTGAAGAGAAGAAAACTAGGTTCCTTATTCAGCCAAACCTATTAGGTTCTCATTTGGGTCTCAGTGTCATTTCTCTGGGTTCTAAATGAAGTGTTAGTGGAGGGGTGATTAGACTCTCCCTGGAGTACCCCAGAAGCAGGTATTTTGGGGCTGATTTACTACAAAATCTTAATCCTACAGAAGTAGTAATTTTGAAATAGAGAAGGCTTGGGGAAGGGGTATTAGATCTGCTTGTGACATCCCTGGAGAAATCCTCCCCCACATTCAGTGTCTCCTGGAGGAGGAATCATCCCCCTTTCATCGGCTCTCTGAGGATTCAGTGCAGTCTTCTATATTGGGAAGGACTAACAATAGAATGGATGGGGAAAAAATTTTGAAGGTCAGCTAGTAAATCTATTCCAATTTTTCTTAGAGCATATTTAATATTAGGAAATTCAGTTGTAAATCTATTTAATTCATGAAAATTGTAAAGCAAATCCTGAATTTAATCCTTCCTTTAAATATTAACTGATTGACTATTGCCAATGCTTCTACAGCATCTAATTAATATATAAAAACAAAGCTAAAATGGACACCAATATGATACTCTCTAACTCTGTAAAACCTTGTGGCAGGTATTGTGAATTCAAACAGCTAAAAGTAATGCTGGTTTTCTTTACATTTAATAGTGGAAATAAAATAATGTTCATTCAAAAATGGCTAATAATACAATATAACTTCTTTGTATTTCAGTTTCAATTCTCATTCAGTTTCAATTCTCAAATCTCAAGGCCAGATGTTATACTGGACAGAATTTTTATCTCAAAACCTTCCTTAAACCATAAACCCATAAGCAGAACATTTTGTGTTGAATCTTTTATGAAAGTTCATCAAATAATATCCTACTGTCTGCTTGTCTTGTATTTTGGCAGCAATTGTTATTCCTTTTTTAAAAAAGAAGAAAATCCACCTATATGCCAATGTTCATGGCAACCAGATGGATTACAGTTACCACCTTCACGGAAAGCATTGTGAGTTGTGTTAGTCCAATGAGGTTGATTTAACAAAATGCCACTCATATTTGGTTTTCCTTCAGCAACTGCATTGTTATATATCTATTTAATTGATTTTCCCCACATGTGTCTATGATAACTAGAGAATTAATTATTTTTTTCATATTGGATGCATTGTACAAGACACAGGAGAAATGGGTAATAGAGTAAAATTATAGTGTAAAAAGCATACATAAGAAATAAGCATGAAAATGTAAAAATTCTGTAAAAAATCACCATGAAACTTAAGAAGACATATAAAACATTGTTCAGTGTAAAAAGTCAAACAAAGCTGATGGATATAATAAAACAATTCCAAGGAGCAGCCAGGGGGGTAAAAATTTCACAAAGGAACATTTTTTGCATAATTATATATTCCCTGACTTTGGATGAAACAAGCAATGATAGAAATCAATTGCTAGAGTTGAATGATCAAATATCCCTAACAAGATGGAGGGAAGAGAGTTAAGTTAGCCATTTCAGTGAAGTATGTTTGAAAGATTATGTCTGTAATGAAAGGGAAGTAACCTATGTTTAAGTTAATTGACAGTGACGTGTGGAGAGATTCTTGTAAATTTATTGATTGAGTGGTGGTACATGCTGTATATAAATTCATTAGTTTTTTGTGTATAACACGGTTTTAGTAATATTATGGATATTTCAGGAGCCTGAATTATAAAACTTACTTCGCTACATAGGACACATTTTCTGACTTTATAAATTTAAGATGCCATTGTTCTATTCAAAGTACACTTGGAAAATCTTGTCTGTCTTTGAATTTCCATAGAAATTAAAGTATGAGAAAGTATGTTTCAAAACAATAAGCATTCCTACACATTTGAGTAGATTTTCAAGCCTTTTCTATGGTCATGTTCACTATGTGTCTTTAGTTGAGAACTAGTATATCACTTTGTCTGATCAGAAAACCATTTGTTAAAAAATATGGCATATAGTATGCTCAGTATTTGTGGAGATTTAAAAATGTTCATATCCTATGTACAGATCACTATGGTTAGGCAGACATTTAAAAATGAAGCCATTCTTCCAGCCATTTTACACAGAGGCTACTTTGAGACAGATTTTACATTCTTCCTGAAGGTGTGCTTGGGTGATGATTCTGTATTTATGCTACTTTCTGCTGTATTAGAGATGCAAGAAATGTGCCACCAGACCAAGATTCTTCTATGGAAATGGAATCTTACAAACTTTCTTTCCTCCTGGAGTGGGACACATGACCCTGAAAATCGCTGCTTTCTATGTAGTTTTATATAACTTCTTTGGCTATTAGTCAAGAAAGCTTTTGTAAACATTTTTACCCTTACTGCCCTCTAACTAGCATCTTACTGATTTAGACCTCTAAGTAGTTATTATTATAGGTGTGATCCCCTAATGACCTGAAGAAAAGTTTTGTTTACAAAAATACTCTTTTTGACATTAATGAGGAAATGGAGATGAGTGAGTCATAATCCAAAACCAGCCCAGTTAAACAAGATTATACCTCAATAACAAAGCAGGCTGGAACATTCCTGTAATTTCTACTACTTGGAAGGGAGAGATCAAAGTCTAAGCCCAACAAACACAAAACTGAGATACACGGTCTGAGGAAGATGGAGAAAAAAAAAGTACTGGGTTGTAGCTCAAGTGTTAAAACATGCAAGCTCTGATCCCCAGTGCATCCAAAATATCCAGATACTTCTCTTTGTTACATTTCTGAAATGTAAAAATCCTTGTCTTATGATTGATTTATTGTACTACACTTAGAGATTTATTTTATTGTTCTATTTTATCTTAGTCTCTGGCCAACTTAAATATAAGTCCACAGATAAAGTCAGACTTGCATTGATAACAATTCCACAATTGCCTAGGTTTTCCTAATTTTAATGCCCCTGCCTAGTTTTTGTACCAAAATATTTATTGAGGAATACATTCTCTAGTTAGTGGTCAACAGCTGAATAGTCTTGGGTAATCTACTTATTGAATATAAAAGAAAGCAGACAATGAATTAATTCTGTTTCATCTTTGTTTCTGTTCAATTTCTGTCATTTCTAGTGTTCCAGTAGCTGAAACAATGACTAATCTTGAAAGGGTCTAAGACAGCATGATTATAGCTTTTCTCCTTGCAGCTCCATAAGTGTTAATCATTTCCTGGAAGGGTACCTGCTATCTGAGTGACACAACCCTTGTGAAGAGATGTTTGTGTTCCTGGAACTGCCATTGCTGATGATGGGTCTTATGTCTGACATTCTTTTAAAAACTTTGTCCATAGTTGTTTTAAAGAATATTCTCAGGCAGAAGAACTCAATCCTAGAACAGTTTTGAATGAGAATTCCAGGATGATCTAGCTCCCCAATAAATAAAATGTGATAGCATTAATTTATTTTGAAGAAGAAAAGAAAGTTTTAAAACAAACATATTAATAGTAAGTATTATCAATCACAAGCTTATCACTTTGTCAGAAAATATTTACTTATAAAACAAGTTAAATTATTCAATAAAGAAATACTTTTAAATTATTCAATAAATAAATGTTTAAATTGAAATGTACATATGTATATATATATATATAACATCTATCTATTTACCTTTTATCCAACTTACATGTCTATTTTCTATCTAAGCTATATATATTTCTATGAATCTATTGTTTCACATATTTTAAAGACAATGTGGAAAACTGAAAACCGATTTTTGAGTCAGAGAAGGGTAACATTTCTGAAAAAATAATTTAGAACTCAAAACCACTTTCTATTATTAAAGACATGACAGCAGACTACTTCCAATTTTGTTAAAGGTTAAGTATTTTGATGTATAAATTTTAGTTGTTGATATAAAGAATGACAATGAGTGTGGACAGTCACTAAAACTTCAGTGTACTAAAAATGTTCATAACATTACCTGGAAGAATCTAGTAATATTTCATGGATCAGGAAGTTTTGACACCAAAGCATACTTAAAAACTTTGTATACTTCCATGTCAAATACTTACGCATATGATGGTTCCAAAAATCTCAATTATTGTAAATTTTCTCTTATTTTTGACAAATTTTGTAGCATCAAATGTGGCCCTATTTTAAAATTACTATTTTAGTCAAATCTACCTTGAAACTTTTCCAAATTTGACATTTAAAAATGAACTTTAATATAAAGAAGATATACATACATATAGCAATTCGTAACATTATAGGAACAGGGAACGTATAAATCCTCAAAATTAAGGAGTAAAAGACAAGACAGCATTGAGATATCTTCACTTACATATAAAATAACCACGAGGGTGCAGCTATGGAAACAAACTTATATCAACAATTTTACACTAGATACTCAAATATTGAAAGTAGTGGTGGGTAATGTGATTTCCAAAACTGGTGATAAGATCATCTCTCAGTCTATGTGAAACTGAAAAGAACTAAAACAAAAATGTGTCCTTGATATTATTAAAAATGTGTGTGTGTGAGGATAAAAGTGATTTTTAGGTTCAGATAATTGCAAATAAAGTTTTACCTTTGTTCATCTTGTAAGACCTTGGTTCATCTTTAAATCTGACTGACTCTCAGATAATTCACTGTATAGAATGAACGCCTGT